GCGAGGGTTACTGAATGCAGGAGTTCAGGTCAGAGGCAGAATGTGGTGTGCCGGTCACTGGAGAGAGCTCCTCACCTCACGTTGTTGTCACTAGAACTTGAATCTATATGGGTGACATTTTTTGAAGAGTTATGAAAGCTTTAAAAGCAAAACAAGATGATAAGCAGTCACAATTAGTAACCTTGCTTTTCTTTTCTACTCTTCCCGTGCTCTTCCATTTTCCTCCTCAGAAAAGATGGTACGAGTCCTAAGATCTCTTCTCCTGCTGCTGTTGGGCCTACTAGGGCTACCATGTTCTCTTTGGGCTCTAACCCCTTTTCAGAAGTTTAAAATTCAGCACGTACAGTCAAATCCTCAGTCATGTGACCAGGACATGATTGCTGTCAACAACCTTGATAAGACGTGTAAGGCTACAAACACCTTCCTGCACGATGATCTCCAGAATGTGATTGATGTCTGTAAACTGCGTGCGACACGCTGCAAACATGGCCAGTACAACTGCCACCAAAGTGCCACTCCTGTAAGAATGACTAAGTGCTCGCTCAAAAAACCAAGCCAGTTTCCTAACTGCCACTACAGAGATGCTCACATCACCAAAAACTTCATTGTGGCCTGTGACCCACCTCAGCCCAGTGACCCTCCGTATCCCCGGGTTCCTGTGCACTTTGATAGAATTGTTGAAAGTTTTGACCAGTTTTGTCTGTCTTGACAGGCAGTTTCTATTATACTTTCCTCTGCTTTTTCTGTTTCTCCCTTTCCTTCATCATCTTCCTTTGGGATTTTCTTGTTCCTTGCCAACCCTCACTGCACTGTATTCTCAGCAATAAAACAACTTCCTATTGCATTTGAGTGAGTGCAACTGTTTTTGTCACCTCCCAAATCACCTCCTGCCTGTTTTCCCAGAGCGTTTTTGTTCCAAGGTTCCCATGATGTTGTGTGGTAGATCGGAGATGGATCCCAAGGCTTGGGGATGTCAAGCACAAAACAGCAAGTTTCCATGCAGTGGCAAAGGAGAAAGCAACTATATTCTTTGTTTTTGGGGGGTTTTGTTTTGTTTTAAGTGTATTAGGTACATGGTCTCACTACCCAGCTCAGACTCATAGTGATTCCCTGTTTTCAGCCTCCCCAGCACTGTGACTACAGGCATGCGCCACCACATCTGGTCTCTGTAGTGGGCTCAGCACGCCCAGGTTCTGGGCCAGCATGGCGTGTGGTGCCAGGGATCTAACCGCAGTCCCTGCCATTGCCTAAGCTGGTGCCTAGGCCACTGAACTACCTAGCCAGCCCTCAACTACATTTTTGGAAGATGACAGGAAGATGTGTTCAGGTAGGAACAGAAAAGGGGTGTCAGGGTGACAGGAAAGTAAGAAGCACAGGGATACATCAGGCTTGGCATTTTATAGGATGTGCACCCCAGCCCAGGGTCTCTCTCTGGGTCTCTGGGTAAGATTGACAGCAGTGATTGACAAGGGGCTGAGTCATCTCAGAGGAACAATTCCTGCACTGGTGTTCGAGAGTTCACTCTGCATACAGTATGCATATGAGGTGCAGTCCAGGCCTGTGAACCTTCCAGGGGAGGGTGCCTGAGGGTCAGGGCGCTGTCTAGTGAGCTTGCCCTCTGTCTGGGGCTAGAAACATTGCCTGTACCTGTATTGTCTTTCTCCTCTTCTCCCAGAGCAGTATAAGAGGAATGGCCTGGGCTGGTAGGGTGGGGCGTGGTGTCTACTCCAGTGCGCCACCTGCACCACCTGGGCCTCCTTGAGGTCCCCCTTGGAGCTCAGGCATCTCCTCTGCCCCATATCTGTCAGTGCAGGCCAGGAGTCTTCCGAGCCTTCACTCCACTCGTGATTGTTTATGTGTCCCGTGAACACAGTGTCCCTTCTTATTTGGAGGTGAAGCTGAGGAGAGAGAGAGACAGAGAGACAGAGACAGAGACAGAGACAGAGACAGAGACAGAAAGAGACAGAGAGAGAATCATCCTTTGTCTTTTATTCTTTGTGTTGTCAAGGTGCTGGAATTAAGCCAGGGAAAGGCTATCATACAAGCACAGTTGTTTTGTTTTTTTGTTGTTGTTGTTGTTTGCTTCCTTGTTTTTATTTATTTTTTAAAGTTTAGGGCTAAATTGGGCTTACTTTGGCCTCAAAGGCACAGTCCTCCTGTCCCGACTCCCACTCTCCCACTGACAGTGATTACAAATGTGTGAACTATTCTCAATGATTCCATAATCCTTTAGTTATTTTTTAAAAATATTTTTCAAGGGGGGCCTGGCCCTAGCTCAGTTCTTTGGGGCTGGGGAGATAGCTCAGTAGAATAAGCATTTGCCTGGCAAGCGCAAGGGCCTGAGTTCAATCCCCGGTTCCGCAAAAAAAAT